ATACTATATATAGTATTTCATATTATATATTCTGTATTATTCCTGAAGCCTTAGTTTACCTACTGAAGGTAGTGCCTACTGGGGTAACTGAAGATTTTTACAATATAGCCTTAGTACTTATTCCGGAGAAGAAAATGTCTCTCATAACGGTATAAACAGGGTACATTATTTAGGTATTTATTTCTTCCCCTAATAAGGAATTCTTTTCCTGTTTTTCACTGAATCAGATCACAATGTCTTCCAAAGTAGTGGAAGGCTCTCCCTTGACTTCAGTAGGCTTTGGATTAAACCTGCTGACCCAGATCCTCAGCAGTATTAAGCATCAAACTCCAAAGGAAATAAATAGGAGGTAGACACCCAAATCCTTGTAAGCATCCAGTCCATAGCCGTCGCTATTCAGTAATAATTCTTCATAACTAAAGACTCCATCTTACAAGCAGTTTCTATCTCTCTGCATATTTCTTGTTTTCACTTACTGTCCCATTGGAAGACTAAGCCTTCCAAATAATGATTCCAGAGCCAACTTTTGACTTGTACTTTAAAAATTCTTGATGTAGAAATATTTCAGTCTGATGACTATAACATAATCTAGTCTTACTCTGCTAGAGGCATCCCTTCCCCTTGTTTGTCCTCTGGAAGGATCTAAAAGCTTTCCGGTATAGTAGGCCTCGGTATTTTCAGCACTGTGCTGGCTGGCTGGCTGCACTGATTTGTCCATGGCTTTAAGGCAGACATTGGGTTTTACCTACTTTAAGCAAGAGTAGCAATATTTTCTGGTTTTGAGTACGTTCATACATATAAATATAGTCTCTGTTTTTACAGTGATGCACGCCATGTGGATTGGGTGAAGTCATATCTGAACATCTGGTCTGATCTTCAAGCTTATATCAAAGAGCATCATACCACAGGTCTCACCTGGAGTAAAACTGTAAGTACTCTTTCCTTCTTCATGAAGAACCATAAAATGCCAGTAACCAATTTGACTTTTAATGCATGTCATTAGCTCAGGAAAAATAAATATCTAGGCCAGGAACAGAAGTCATGGTCCATGGACTTCCCAACCAAGCCAATAAAAATTTGAAAGCCAGGTGGAAAAGATGTGTCAGGCCATTGTGATACAGGTTTGGAGGAAGAGGGAAGAATTATTTGCAATGATTATAGCCATAACCCCTAGCTGCAGATGGTGAGGAGAGGCAGACACAATCCTCCAGGCCTGCTACAGTAGAAGGTAGGAACAAAAACAAACCCCAAAAATTTGAAGGACATGCCAGACTAAAGGAAAATTGGGGGAACATGACAGGGAAAGGAGAAGAATGGTGGAAGGAATCTGAACAAAGAGAGATATTTAATAACAGGAAAAAGAAACACAAGGGATACATACCAATTTATTACTTCATAGATAGCTATCTTTAGAAAACTGTTATTTTATACATACAGAAATAATTTCTGAAATACGTCTATATAGAGAGAGTAAATAGAACTGTATGCCTATTTATGCACTCTCTATATATTTGTATAAACATCTTCTGTGTGTTACATCTGAGATGCACAGAAAGATGATGGCAATGAATATTGTTCTCTGAAAGAGGTATAAACATGAAGAATTAATTATCTATTCAGTACAAATGTAAGAGTTTATGTCCACTGTCTACATTGATGCAATGTTCTATATTATTCTAATAATGTGCTCATGTTTATTATCAGGTTAGGAGAATTGCTGAAGTGTATTAAAAATACAATCAGCCAGCTCTTTGCTGTTATCATCTCCTAAACTTACCAGCGCACTCACATACTTGCACATGCAGTCTTTCACACCAAGTTTATAATTTCTTCTGTACAGGCAAAGAATTTTTTTTTAAATTGAATGACTATTCAGAGGACTGATGTAGGCCACCAGATAATTTAATTCCCAGCCCAAACCGTTATAAGAACTCAGGAATATAGGGAAGTGATGTAGAGCTTTTGGATGGAATGTTTTAACATGGAATAAGGGCTGGAACACCTCTCCTATGAAGAAAGGCTGAGAGAGCTGGGGTCGTTCAGCCTAAAGAAGAGAAGGCTTTGGGCAGACCTTATTGTGGCCTTTCAATATATTAAGGGGGCTTATAAGAAAGACGAAGAAAGACTTTACCAGGGCCTGTAGTGACAGGACAAGGGGCAACAGCTTTAAACTGAAAGAGGGTAGACTTAGATTCGAATATAAGGAAGAAATTTTTTATGATGAGGGTGGTGCAACACCGGAACAGATTGCCCAGAGAAGTTGTGGATGCCCCATCATTGGAAGTGTTCAAGGTCAGGTTGGACAGGGCTCTGAGCAACCTGATCTAGTGAAAGATGTCCCTGCCCATGGCGGGGGGGGTTAGACTAGGTGATCTTTAAAGGTCCCTTCCAACCCAAACCCTTCTATGATTCCATGGTACCTGGAAAAGTTACTTGATCTCCCCCTGTGTGGAGGTGATAACCATGTAAGAGAATGTATGTTACTTCTGCTCAGCAGCAGACTATGCAACTTTCTTTTCACACCCTTCATCAGACATTGTACAAGGCCTTACAGTACTCAAGCATTCAAGTGCAAGTTCAAACACAGGAGAGACCATGATCTGTGTGTACTTCTTAGTTTGAAGCAATACAAAAATGTTTAAACATGATAAATTAGAAGACTGGAATTACCTGCTGCTTTGTAGGTTTCTGTAGTAAAAATGTAAAACATTAAACATGATTCTCTTCCTTAATTTAGTACAAAATTTCACACTTGCTACATCCTACTCTATTATAATCAGTGAATGTGAGAAGTGCTAATGATTTTAAAATTATTATTACATAAGGAAAAGAAATTGTAATACCCTCTTAGCAGAATTCACCTGAGAATCTGGGCCAAATTTAGTTTTGTTAATACAGAGAAAGAATCATCTTCACTTTTAATGGAACTTTAAAAGTATGGAAATAGTGTTTTAAGATAAAGATTTGTTGTAGCCATTTGATCAAACAGAAGGAACTCTCAGTGCTGTTGAGTACTGGTAATCTTATTCAGAAGTGTAGCTGTTGCAGATTATATTTGACTGGTCTTAAAACCAGCATCTCAGCCATCACGTCTTTCTATTTCCCTCTCTTCAGCTGTGCAAGAAATTGCAGGATACAAATCTAGGTGTGACTTGTTTATTCATATTAAGCATAGTTTCCTGCCAACAGTGCTCATTCCATCATGAGTGATGAGCCTGTTACTGCATCTGAAGTATTGATTTCACTCACTTTGGGTATCACTCAGGTCTGAAAGTTGTCTTGGAAGTATGGCTCACTTAAATTATCATTCATGTAATGTGTGTCAGATTAAATTACAAACACGTTTTTATGGATGTGTAATTTTTTTAAAGTTTTAACTTCATGTGAGTGTAAGGAAATTAGAATCCAGTAAGTTAGCAGGTTGTTTAAATAGCTTGTTGTTTCAATGTTGTTTAAATATTTCTATGAAGCTTGGTAACAAATACATTCAAGAAAGCAATGAGTTACTAAAGTGATAATTTCATTTTTGTTATACATTTTTAAGAGAGAATGAAACTCACAGATTCATGCTGTGTGAAGTTAAGCATAAAGGTCTGCAGAATCAGGGCCTAGACAGAAATATGATATATATAAAAGCTGTAGATATATTCCAGACACAGTTGTTAATCATTGCACACAGCAGCTTCCACTTATATGCATAAAAGGAAAAAAGGAAAAAGCAGTAGTTTGGCAAGGCATTAAGAAAGTGGCACATTCATGAAAGGGAGACATTGATGCAGAAATGCTATTTTATTATCGAGGGAGAGAGAAAGAGAGAGAAAAGGTTTGGTCTGTATAAGTACAGATTTAAAAGTACATTATACTGATAATTTACCCTTCATATCTGCAGAAGTCAACAAAGCAATGCTTGAAGCTTTATATAAAAAGCTATTAAGTAACATATTTGGATTATTTCTAAAGAGACTGAAGAGTCAGGGAGAACATTAAGTACTGCTTCTCTCAGAGCTGTATTCTCATAGCTTGAACTGCAACAAAACCCCAGGAGCATCAGCCTAGACCAGATTATGCTTGGGTTTCCAAAAAAGAGGGGACAGGAATTGTCAGTGGGCAGTTGGCCCCTTTACCTATAGGTGCTGTATACCGTGGTGTGCATGCTTCTGGCCATGCTCCATGGCAGTATCACAAAGCTGTGCCATTTCCAGCCCCCCCCGTACCCTTCCATCAAGCTGCACAGGGCAGCTGCAGCCAACCTTGGAACGGATCACTGGTACATACAGCGAAGTGTTCCTGGCTCTGGCAGTAAGCACACAGGCAGACACTTTAGAGGAAAGAGAAAGACATGTCTTAATAAATTACAAGACAGACACTAAAACAGGTGCAAAATATTGAAATAATGGCTAAGCGGTCAGCTCTGACAATAACACTTACCTCTGTCAGCTTTATAATAGATTTGTGATAAAAACAGATGCTAACAGATTTTTGGATCTAACACAGTTCTCTCTCCTTATTCACTTTGGCTGTGGTTCTGCCAAGACGTTTGACAATATTTTACTCCTTGAGGGCATCCTATTGAAATGCGTGGGACTGTGTGAGGAGAAAGCCAAGAAATCAGTGGAGTTAAGAACCTTGAGACCTTTGTGTATCTGAGTCTGTTTTGCTACCCATGTGGAGTGGTGGTACAAAACTGGGCCCTACGTAAATCACAGGCATTTCAAGACAGGATGGATACGGTTAGGATATTTGTTGGTACTGTGCTCACAGAAGAAAACTACATATTTAAAGTATGTATGCTTGTGAGCAGGATTGTCCCAGAGACTAAAATGCTCCACTGTATTTTCACTGTGACCTGAAGTATTCATTTTCATTAATTGATTGCGCATGTCAGAGAAAATATGCTTGTCAGTGGAAGTCAGATGGATCTACAGTATTTCCTTAAAAGTGTAATTTTGTAGTTCATTATTTTGAGTGTAAAGTGTGAGCTGCCTTCAGCCACACATACCCTGTAGTGAGTAGCAGTTCACTATACTCACATCTCAGTTTAGCCATCCTGACAATGGGAACAACAGCAATTACCGAATGGAGATTTGCAAGTTTTAATTTGCTACCAGATATGACATTCTCAGAGTCAGTGAGCCTTATGCAAAGGCTGTTACTATAATGAAATGTTTTAAATGCCCAGTGTAGCATTTTACCCATACAGCAACTGCCATTTTTGCTTGCTACAACTTTCTGACTTTAACATGAAACCTACAGCTGTAACAGTAACCCATGTCTTTTTTCAGTTCTTACTGATAAACAGCAAGTGCCCTTTTTTTCCTTTTTTTTCGCTTAAAGAAGGGATTCTATTTCTTCCCTCTACTTTTTTTTTGGTGGTGCAAAGAAATGAACAGCTGTAATATAAGCTCACAAGAATGCCTAATAAAAGTTTGTTTGCTACAAGGACTGCATGAGTAAGCTGGGGGAAGTGAAACTTCTGCTCCTATTACTGCAGGTTAACTTTCCAGCAAGAAAACAAAAGGTAATAATGAGAGACTGCTGTAGTTTCCTGTACAACAAATAAGTGTTAAGAAACAAATCTTGCTCAAGAATAATTGTCTTGAATGTTTCTTTCAGTTGCAGGTGGATCTGCAGTTACATTTTTGTTCTTTGTATATAGTAGTCACTTAGGACAAATTTTGTCAGCAGGATTATTTATGGACAGGAACTATTTACAAACTAGCAGTGAATTTCATTACAGTGTTTAGTTTCTAATGCAGAATTTCACTCAAGTGACGAATGTTACACACACACACACACACTTTACAAATCAAAACAAATTCTTAGGAGGAAGTCTGCATCTTTACAAGCAGTTGAGATTCACTTATATTCTGTTCCCATTGAAGCCAATACAGTATCTTCAAGTCTTTTTTTCCTGGAATATAATTTTAA